TGTAAGTAGTATATGACGTGAGTGTCAGCGTGATGTCTGGCAGCAGAAGATGGGGGAAGATCAAGAAAGGAAGAGTTAGAAAACAATGGAATTTGTATGAAACGCATGAATAGTGACAATGGATTGATGTTGTTTGCAACAGGAACAATCCAGTTCGATATGATGAACTGATATTTTGCAAATGAACGATTTACGATATGGTTTTCCGATTTTACTGAATAACTGTGTAATTTTCGTCAAATACAATCCGGTTGCCCCACCTGTGTTCTCATTCACTACAAGTCTAGCAATTCGACATACCTTCATAACTTATGAACTATGGATTGGACACTGATGCAGTCCTGCAAATAGCTATCGTATGAAGTACGGGTTTCCAAACATACTATTAACATTTAAGGTGTAACTTTGGAAAAATGCTTATAGCAGTATTTCGAGAAATAAATATAAACTTTAGGGAATTCACATGATTTTTGGTTTTGATAGTGGGATTTGTCATTTATACAGAGAGGTAATACTAACGCGACATGTTCACGAAAATAAGTAATGTAAACACATACGTGTAGCGGCGAATCCACTATTAAGAAGAGAAAGCAAATGATTGAATATCAACATTCATTCTGGCGGTGCTTCTTTCTCTGAGCTGGATGTTTTGGTTGTGAAGCTTTCATTGTTCTTCTGAACAACATCGTCGCCACACACTTTAGATAGAAGTGAAGCATTGGAATTTCTTCACGTGCATGACTCGTAGCTTGTTCTTGTAAACTTCGACGATCTTGATTGGTTGCAGCTGACCTTAGGTCTGTCGTTGTTTATACTATAGATGGGCTATAAAGCTTTTGTATACGAATACCTCTTATTTCCTTTTTATTGAGTACTGAAAGAAGTGTCCGCATTCAATCCACCCTATACGGTATCAACACGTTTAATAAATTCGATTGAGCCGTGACTGAATGGGACCGCTTCGGACCTTTGAGAGCCGCTGAATGCTTCTAGGAGCCAACCCAAAACTTCTACTTCATAACTCTTCGGAATATGATTTCCCTCCGGGGTCGAAATATAATCTTAGCACAGTTTGGTCCAGTTTATCAGTTCTTTCCTGAATGTTTCTGAACCGAATGAGCATTCTCAATGGCCACCTGAATCTCGAGATCACTTAAGGATTAAGGCACCGACCTTGATTGTGACAGTGAGGATCTCATTTTAAATGAAATAATTGAGTGAAACTCTTAGTTTCTTGATTATAAGAATGTATTTGACAGTAAGGATAAGCAAACTTCAGGGGTATTCCGTGACATAATGAAGTAACAACAAATCTCAACATCACATATAATTCCTGTGATAGGCTGAATTGTATAGTCGTACATACATTCCAAATAAAAGTTGGAATCAGATGAGGCTGCCAACTCTCATCCTATCTGTTCTAACTATATGTTACGGAAAAAGCACAGCACATGATAGACACATTTGATTCAGCTGTGTGATTTGGACTGTGGATTGTCTTAGCGATTTCATCCCACAAAAATGAACAAAATTCAAACAGATGAAGTCAATGCAGAAGCAGTTAGATCTCAGTATTCACATGAGAAGAACACCAAGATCCTGAAGTAGAACACAGTTTGACTGCAAAGATCCAACAGACGTTGAGACACTTGTTGTACACAAGTGGAACATAAACGACTATGACAATCACATAGATAAACAAATTTGTTAACATCTGTCTGTGCAAGACACTCCAAATCCATCAACCAAAGATCATCACCGATAATTGACTGTGACAATGAACTGGCTGTCAGTTGAAGAATTCAAAACGAACTATAAGGTAAGCAGAATACATTTGACGAGAAGGAATAAGGTGCATCGCTAAAAAAAAACCTTGATTTGAAATCCTTAAAGCAAAATGAATAGCGCTTGAAATTATAAACAGCACTTAACAACTAAAAAGGATAGATTCAGATTGCGTTGCATGGAGAGGCCTAGTTGACAGCCTTATGTAAAAATGAATAGAAATTTTCATTATGTGCATTCATGTGCAATCAACTTTCACCTTCAATCCCAACATTCTAAATAACAGAGTGAATACCCAAGACAGACATCTTTCTCATGAGTAGTGAATAACATATTTCTCTGATAGTCATACCATACCATTCAATGTGATACCTGAATTTGTGTTTCAGTGAGTCGAAAAACTTTTTCTCTGCAATCACACAGACACTCTGTACCGTTCACTGTTCAGTATTCTATGAAAAATATATAGAACTCTGAAGTAGTCTAATCTTAGTAGAAAAAGGTATTGACAATTGACGGCTGCCTTAACAGTATGCTTTGGGACATTAGATCCTCAAAAACTCGCTTGGAAAATATCCTAATTTTGTAATTTTATGTTGAAATTTTGAATTTTTATGTTTCCGCGCCCGAAGACGTTCAGTTGACCTTCAGCTTACATTTCCCAATCGGAAAATTCTTGACTGTCATTGGTTGGTGCACTATTTTAGTGGCTCTCACCAATGGCGTTTCTATCATTGTATAAATAAGCTTGAGTTGAGTGCTTAGACACCTCATATTTTCTGAATGCCTATGGCATACATTCTTTCTACGCCTTATCAAGACTTCTTACTCTACTTAGTTGGGGCCGGAGACAATCGAATCAAGATAACTTATCGCGTCACTGCATCGTTGATCTTCGCTCTCGTTTACCGAGTAAGGTGAACACTCATAATAGCATTTAAGTATAATCATCACTAGAGAAACTTGAAAGCACTGGACAGCCCACTTTCATCCTAATATACGAACGACTAACTCATCAGTGACAGTGCAGATCTATTCGAGTAAATGATTTTTAAAAAGAAGAAACACACACAATCATAAGAGTATTTTAATGAGAAAAAGAAGAAAATTCCGTTTCAATGTATCATTTCAACAAATTGATCGTTTTCTATTGGTTAAAATGAAAAAAATGACAATTCAATGATGTGATGTGATGTGATGTGGTGACAAACTGAACGCCACAACATTTTCTAAGTCTGGCGCGCACACACACATACATACAAGAAACAGTACAATAGTCAAGTTAAAAACCATTTTCAACTGGAAGAATCACACATACCTAACGATAAAAAAACAAACAACAGACTTGGATCGTTAAAAACATCACACGTACAACAACAACAGTATATGATATAATTATCAGTAGTAGGCCAGAGAGAGGGAGAGAGAGTAGTACACACACACATACACACATAAAAATCACATTTACATATTACACAAATTATCGATCAGGATGAATAGACAGGTAGATAGATAGATAGATAGATACATAGATTACATACATACAAAAGGAGTCAATTGAAATGAATCAGCATTAATCAACAATATATTTATCCTTTTTTCTCTCAATAAAACAACAAGAATGAAATTACCTACAGAATGGTTTAGTTTTTTGTTGAAGAAAAAATTATAAAATAAAAAAAACGGGTAGATGATGGTATTTTCGAAAGAGAACAGATCAATAAGGTGAATAGCAAGTCAAATAGTAGTAGTAGTGGTAGTAGTGGCAACAACAACAACGACACCAATTGAATGAATTCAATATCTGTTAAATCTTTGTTTGTTTGTTTAAATATTTAAAAAAAAGATGTGCGCATGCATAAGCGTTAAAAAAAAAGGTTAGCATTAAGTTAGTAAGTACTCTAAATATATTTTCAGCACAAAATTTTGATAATAATTGTGACAGATTTAAAAACCTACGCATTGAATTTAGTAGATAAGATATACACAACATTTGAATGTCATAATTGTTTAAATTGATCAATTTTTGCAAAATGGCCGACATGGCGGGAGAAATGAAATTGGTAAATTATACATGTATATTATAATATACACAGACACGCAGGAACACAGACATACACAGGCGCACACACATACACAGAGACAAGTGTTGTGTTTCTTTTTTCACTTCAAACATAAAGACCGGGGTAAAATTGAGAGAGAACAAAAAATTGGGAAAGGAATAAATAAACCTGACATGAGATCATGTGTGTGTGTAGTAAGGTAAGAGTTACTTGAGGATTCATATAATTTCACAACTATATGACTCTATCGAATAATTTTTGCATAAAATTTGTGCTTTCATTCATGATTATTAAAATAAAATTAGACGACAAATCAAATGAGCAAAGCGATCATGCATGCACACACACACGCACACAACAAAGCACAACCACGTGAAACACCACTCCACACATTCACTGACAGACAACAACAACAACCGGAACAAGTGAAAGAACAGACAGGCAGGCCAACACACACTCACACACTCCTCACTTCCTCACCATCATCGTTTAGAGAATGATAATTGTGCAAACAAACATGTTTGTAACAAACACACACAATTGTTGTGTCAATATGAAAATATTATACAAATAAACAAGCAAATGAATTAGAGAAAAACAGGGCGGGAAAAACGAGTGGCATGGGGGGGGGGGGCGGGAGAAAGAAGGTTAAAAACAAGAGGCGACGAAACGAATACAAATGTCGTACATAGATACATACATACATAGATTGTTACAATTATCATTACTCTAAATATATATATATATTACAGGGATAATATAGTGAGTAGTAGTAAATCACGAAATAAATAAAATAAAACATTGAGGAGTGTGTGTATGTGTGTTTTTAGTTGTGATTGTTGGTGCTCTTTCTCTCTCTCTCTTGAATAATAAATGATAAACATGAGATCAGTGAAGGTTGAAGGGAGCTAGGTGACAGTAGCGGCAGCAGCAGCAGGAGCGGGAGCAACGACAACGTCGGCCACGGCGACGCCGACGCCAACAGCAACATCAGAAACAACAGCAACAATGAAAGGACGACAATTTGACATGGATTATTTGAATGCCAGGCACAATAATAATAATAGTAATCATATCTATCTGACACAAAGTAGAATAGAGCAAAAAGAAAGGAAATGGCGGAGGAAGAAGCAGAGTTCACTCGCGCGAAGTTTAATGATGATGATGACGTTGATAATGATGAATAAAATATTTCCTAATCAATTTAAATGTATGTCGACTGCCAGAAATACGTTTAAAACGTACACCATAATCAATTGGTTTAGCTAACTGGAATATTTCCATATCCCAATGGATTAAATCACATGTTGAAGCAGCAGTACTAGCACTAGTAGTAGTAGGAGTAGTACTACTAGTAGTACTAAGAGTAGTACTTGGATTGCTTTGATTATCATTACAATTTGTGCGAATTGTAGTACAAGTTGATTGACGAGGAGGAGGAGGAGGAGGAGAAGAGGTGTAAGAACAAGAAGAAGAAGAATTAGTCATTAAGAATAATTTTGTACAACGTAAATGATATGAATTTAATAATTCATAAGTGCATTGATATTGTTTCAACAGATGAATTAATTGTATAAATAATACATTTGGATCATGATCAATAATAGGTAGAGTTAAACTGAAATATAAACGACGTGGTTTCCATAATTTATGCTGTTGTGGCTGTGGTTGCTGTTGAGGTTGTGGTACTAGTGGTTGAGGTGGTTGCCCATCGTCACAGCATTGTGACAAAGTCGGTGAGGTAGTGGTTGTTGATGTTGTTATTGTTGTACAATGCGATAATGATCTCGTGGCGTTGTCGTCTGTCATTGATGTAGTGGTTGTGGTGATCGTTGATACTAGTGGTGACAGTGTTGAGGTTGTTGTTGTTGTTGCTGCTGATGTATACAATCGAGTTGTACTAACTTTCAATCTATGCATGTCGGTACTGACAATCATTGGAGTTTTCGATGTTGGAGGATCGAGGAGGCAATACGGTTCGATTCCGGTCTTTTCTATAATTTACAAGAAAAAACAACCAGATAAAACAATAAATGTATATATATATATATATTTATATATATTAGAAGCGAGAGCGGTAGTACACACTGAATGATAACTAAAATGGAAAAAAAAAGAACTGAGATGTGCGTCTACGTGTGCACATGGGTGTGCGCGTGTGTGTGAGTGAGTAGGTGAGTATGAGCGCATACAAAAGCAATTACAACAACATCAACAATAACAACCACAATAACGAATAGCACCCCAAGTTTGTTAACAAAAAATTGATGATGATAATGATGATTAGGTGTAGTTCATGTAGCAACAACAAATACATGTACAATTGAAAGAATACATATTTTTCAATTGAAAGAATAAAACAACAGAATGATGCAATCAATTCATAGGTTGAGGTTACACGCAACAAAATCAAGAAAAAAAAAGACAAAACCCAATAAATTTTAAGCTCGTTAAATTTCTTATTTTTAAAGATAAGAAAAACACCATAAAAGTGGATTAGAAGATTAGGTTTCGAAGATATGATTCGAGAAGTATAATTCAGTGAGATAAATTTAGAAGGAGAAGGGTAGAGATTATGAGGAATTCAGAAGGTTAGAATTAGACAGAACACAAAGAATGGATGCACCTGCGCCATTGCAAACGATTTCGAGACATGTTATTCAGTGTCACTAACCATTGGTGACTTTCGTCTCGCGGACCTCAACCTGATAGCCTACATCTACCAACATGACTCAGTCCACTTGTCAATGACTTCATAGATTTGTGCCATGTTTTAGTTTGGCTGCTCCTAGCTTTCTTTCAACCTATTGCTACATCGCAAAGCATAGCTCGTCGTGGTAGTCAATGCTTCGGAATACGCAACACATGTCCAAACCGCCTCATCTAATCAAATTTCAAAACTTCATCTACTGATCTGCTATCCTTATCTCCATCTATCTAAAAAAGTATTAGGGCTTCTTATTAATCTTCATCGCATAAAACAAAGTTCGCCTAAGTACATGATCGACATAAATTCAAACAGGAACATCTGTGGATCATTTGAATTAACGTCAGATCCCGCCACATAATATTTTGTCTGATATAAACAAACAACAACACACTTTTCAATCAATAAACACAACCAATAACAACAACAAAACCAACATTGAATACTGAAGATCATCATTGTATACCAGCAATAAAACACATTACATTCGAACAAAAAAAAAAATTTGTAACTAACTATAGGTGACAATCGATTAGGGTTATACGAGAGAGAAAAAAATGAATAATAAAAAGATGAATGAGTTCCAGACGATAAACACAATGCAATCTTGAGATGGTGAAGAAAACTTGTAGCTCAGGTGGATGATTGTGGTGGTGGTGTTTGGTTCTCTGAGCTGGTTGTTATGGTTGTGGAGCTTTCATTGTTCGCCTTCTGAACAACATCATCATAGGTGACACAGGATCAAGAAACAGATCAAAAAGGGGGGTGCAATCAAAACAAAGTTGCAAACAACGACAGGTCAAAAGTCAACAGCAACCAATCAAGATCGAGGTTAGCAGAACAACGAGGAGAAATTCGAATGCTTCACTTCTGCTATCTGAAGTTTGTGCTGATGATGTTGTTGTTCAGTAGAAGAACAATGAAAGCTCCACAACCAAACTACATCCAGCTCAGAGAACGAAACACCAGCACAACAATGCAATCCTGTTGTTGTATGAAACAGAGAAATGAACATTGAGCAATGACAAATCGGATAGTTTGTTATTTGTATATTTGCATTACGGGGTTGTGAAGATTGTTAAGTAGCTACACATTTTTGAAACCATGCATCGATCAATGTTAGACCACGATTAGAAACCTGGAAGAAGCACTGGAAGACGTCCGTTTCGTCCTGGTATTGGACTCACCACTGGCAATGCGCATCCACGACTCCTGCACCCCACGGGATTCGAACCCAGGACCTTCGGTATTGTGTGCGAACGCCCTAACCATCGGACCACTGAGCCGGAATCTAACGGTGTTAATGTCTAACTCGATCAATTCATGGAGTTGCGCAACCTCATACACAGTCTTCGGTAGTAGTTACTGTCTACACCCCAAAAGGTTGAACAACTTCACTGGTCACGTCTTCCCACTAGAACTCGGAGAAGATTCCTCACGAAGCGCTAGTCACTAGTGAGCATAGGTAGTTTGCATTACGAGGTTGTTGTGAAGATTGTTAAGTTACACATTTTCTAATGGTGGTGTAACATTGATCGATTCATGGTTCCAAAAATTTGCATATTTGAAAAAATAATATTGATCCGAAATAGATAATGTGCAGGCGACTCGTCAAACAATTTTCATTACATCCTGAAACTAACATGCTTAATCAAATTCGATTCTTATTACAAGGTTGTGAAGATTATTAGACCATCATTAATAGAAACCTGGAAGTACTGAAAATGCGAGCATTCGGTCTTGGGTACCGGACTCCAAATTAGTGACATTGCGCATCCACAACACCTGATACTCTCCGGCAGGATTCGAACCCAGGTGTTGCACGCGCGCGCACGTGGACGCTTAACCTCTAGACCACTAAGTCGACTAGCATCCAACCGTGTTATAATGTCTAATAACTCCGACCAATCTCTCGAGATTTTATGCAACCTCACCCCCATTTGTGTCATCGGTCGTGTTAACTGCCTGCCTACACACACTCGACAAGGTTGAACTCCACTCACTCACTCACTCACTCACTCACTCACTCACTCACTCACTCACTCACTCACTCACTCACTCACTCACTCACTCACTCACTCACTCACTCACTCACTCACTCACTCACTCACTCACTCACTCACTCACTCACTCACTCACTCACTCACTCACTCACTCACTCACTCACTCACTCACTCACTCACTCACTCACTCACTCACTCACTCACTCACTCACTCACTCACTCACTCACTCACTCACTCACTCACTCACTCACTCACTCACTCACTCACTCACTCACTCACTCACTCACTCACTCACTCACTCACTCACTCACTCACTCACTCACTCACTCACTCACTCACTCACTCACTCACTCACTCACTCACTCACTCACTCACTCACTCACTCACTCACTCACTCACTCACTCACTCACTCACTCACTCACTCACTCACTCACTCACTCACTCACTCACTCACTCACTCACTCACTCACTCACTCACTCACTCACTACTGGTCACATCTAAACAATATCCAATTCATTCATACACAATCACATCATTCACATACTGATAAAATGAAAAGAAATTTTATTGTTCATCTACGGGTAACACTACTTTACTATAAAATACAATACAAACTCATTAAAAATCTATGCACAACACTTGTTATAATTGAATGATACTTAATGAATTGAAACTCTTGAAAATAATAAATGATTGTAGTTGATTGACACTTACAAAATAAAAAATTTTTTGTATATTAGAGTATAAAAGAACAGAACAGAACAGAAAAGTAAACAGACAGATTGTGACACAGACAACAAACGATTCGTTTATATTTTTTCTTATGTTCAGAAGACAGTAAAAACACATTTAAAAACTGTCACGCCTGTACGTAAACACGTCAACTTGATATACTTGTACTATTTATTACGAGTTTACCTAGTAGTCGGAAAACACGAGAGTGAGGATCGAGGATCCGGTGACATGACATACTACTACTCAAATCCTATGACATTGACAATTAAGACGACCAATAGGAAGCAACATTTGAAGTGATATTTTGATAGTCAAGACAACCAATAAGAAAGAAGATTTGAAATGACATTGACAGTCCGGATGACCAATAAGAGACAAGAGTTAAAACGATCATAATTTTGACCAATAGAAATCGACCAATAGGATTTGAGCAATAATTCTCTTAGGATATTGGATGAATATCCTAACAAAAACACGATAGAAAAGGGCCAACTAACAATTGATACACTAACCAATCAATTGAATGAGTTGATGACTGTATGGGGGGAAGGATACCGTTTCTGGCTAGCCACAAAAAGAACGGAAGCAGATATTGCTTTTCTTAGGCGACCCACCGATCACTTACTTCCTGAATCTTTTCTAGGCTTACAAAACTAGTCTAAACAAATATCACAAGATATGTGGTGATGTTGGCGGTGATGGTCCCATGAGGACCGATGTCCTACAACACTTGATTCATACGTCATTTGTTCTATCAATAATAATAGTAATAATCTGGAGTTCATAGGTAGTTATTGGTTTACGAATGAAAAGTTTTTCAATTTGCATAGATATGAATTCTCCATAGCCACCAACTCGTTTTCATCCTCTCAATTTCACAAACACCACCTCTGTCATGAGGAGACAGTGGGGGTGAACAGGACTTCTCTGATAGTGACTAATCAAGCATGGCCATATGAGAGCCATTTGGAGAGTGGAGAATCGACTCTCAATTAGTAAACATATGTAATACACTACTTATCAACCTATTTGGTTCAGTGAAAAAAAAGATAATCGTTTGAATTACTGGCATTGACTTATGAACTAACTAGCGAACAACCATCAGTCTCGTTTACAGAAACATTTTTATTCAGTGTGATAAACATGAAATTAAACTTAAAATAAAATGAGAAAAGAAACCAATTACAAATTCAAAAAGAATCTTATCTACATTGTACCACATAGTTTAAATAGTTTTTGCGTGCAGTTGAAAAACACATCGTGCCTATTACACACAACAACACTAACAACCAAAAACAACACACACACAGAGATATACACACTAACAATAACTGATATTTGAAATCATGAATCGACCACAGTTAGACCACCATTAGAAGAAACCTAGAAGCACTGAAAGACGACCGTTTCGTCCTGGTATGGGACTACTCATTAGCGGCAATGAGCATCCACGACTCCTGCGGCTCACAGGATTCGAACTCAGGACCTTCGGTCTTGCACGCACGAACGTCTAACCTCGGGACCACTGAGCCGGCACCTAACAGTGTTAATGTCTAATTTCGATCAATTCACGGAGTTGCGCAACCTCGTACACAGTCTTCGGTAGTTACTGTCTACACCCGAACAGGTTGAACTTTCCGAAATTCCTGAACCCGGTGAACAACCAGCTGATGACGACGACAATGACGTCTCCACGAGGTGCCAACTAATGCAACCACAAAGCAAAAAGGATTCTAGCGATTAGACTAAATAATTACCATGCAGTACACAGTCATTTTGTCTGTTCTGTACAATATATGACATTAGCGAGTCAGTGTATATAGATATTCATGGCAATCATGAATGATGTATAAAATGTACGGAAGTTTAGAGGAGAAAACAAATACATAAGTGTACAAAATACACTAATTAAAAGGGGGGGAGGAAGGGTAAACTACTACTACTACTAAACAAAATGCAACAACAACAACAACAAAGAAATCTATACAGACAGACTAATACAACGCAGAACTTTGTACATACATAAGTAACATCAGTTCAGGTTGCCATACTGTGGTGCGAGCTACTTATAAGTAGTATATGACGTGAGTGTCAACGTAATGTCTGGCAGCGGAAGATGGGAGAAGATTAAGAAAGGAAGAGTGGGAACACAATGGAAACGCATGAATAGTGACAATGGATTGATGTTTTGCAACAGGAACAGTCCAGTTTGATGTGATGGACTGATATTTTGCAAATTAAAGATTTACGATATGGTTTTCCAATTTTACTGAGTAACTGTAATTTTCGTTAACTACAATCCGGTTGCCCCACCTGTGTTCTCGTTCACTGCAATACTACGTCAGCACAGAGACGTAACTGTTAGTTCAAATCCAAGAGTGATAGCGATAGTATCATGATCAATATTAGTTTGTACTTTATGATCTATGTGAGACTATTACTCTAACCAATTGATTGTTAACAGTTCATGGTGAGGGGGGAGTGATGAATTTTCATTATAAAGTTTGTGGAAATGATAGAGTTTCGCTGAAAGCATGAATCGACCAATGTTAGACAATAGATAAGATCGAGCAATATTGCGGGTCTAATATCGATTGATTCACAATTTCAATGAAACTCAATCATTTCCACAACTCTATAATGCCAATTATCATGTACTCAATAGTGATTAGCTTCGTGACAGAATTCTCGGAATTCTAGTGAGAAGCTGTGACCATTAGCGTCCGATTGCGTCAGATACTCACCAAAGACAATAGATGATGGTCGCGCAATCAACGTAGAACTTCGTACGTAAATACATAAGTTCAGGTTGCCAAACCACATTAGCACAAAGGTGAAATTGTCACTTCGAATGCCATAGTAGTAGCGGTAATAAAAGTATTAGCAGTAATCGGGAGGATTAGGAATCGAACAAGTAGAATCTAGTGAAATAAACTTAAGAGCAAAAGATAAAGGTGATGAGGAACTCCGAAGGTTAGGATTTGAGAGAACACAAAGAGTAGATGCACTTGCGCCATTGCAAACGATTCTGAGCCATGTCATTCAAGGTTGCTAACCATTGGTGACTATCGTCTCGCGGACCCCAACCAGATAGCCTACATCTACCAACATGACTCATTTCACTTGTTAGTGACTTCATGGATTTCTGCTATGTTTTCGTTTGGCCGCCCCTAGCTTTCTTCCAACCTACTCCTACACCATAAAACATAGCTCGTCGTGGTAGTCATTAGTTGGGCATACGTAACACATGTCCCAACCACCTTAACTGATGAAGTTTCACTACTTTATCTACTGATCTGCCATCCCAACCTCGTACTCTTTCCCTAACTATAGCATTGCTTAATCGGTCGCGCAATATTGTGGGTTTATTCAAGTTAGATATTTCCATCGCTGGATGCCTCCGACTAGGCAGTCAAAATGTTAACCGATCGTGCGCGGTACCGAAGGTCTTGAGTCCGATCCTTTTCTGTGGGATTTTGAAAGTGCACTACCAACGAGGAAGTTTTATACTACGACTCATGATAACTTCTTAATCGTTTTTATCTGACTAAGAATGCGTACTAGTCAGCTGTGAAGCAAACACTAGTCAAGTATAGTCTAACGCACAATTTCAATATGTTTCCAGAATAAAGCTCGATAAGGATAGTTGAATCGAACATTTATCTGATCTGTTTTGACGTTAATGTTACAACATGAATGTTATTGATCGAGTGATCATCTCTGTATCACAATACATGTCATGCTTGTCTAGTTTTTTTAAGTGCATATCGAATCTTATCGATCAAGTTCCGATATAGCTAGTGATTCCACCACGCACAGACAATGTTGATAAAATTTAATGGTTAGGGATAGTTAGGAGCAAACCTTGTTACAATACTCTTTTTTTAAATAGTTAGAATCCCGTCTGAAATGGTATCCACTACAGGGTTCGAACTCGCGTTGCTTAGCTTCAGGTTTTAGGTATTTTAATGAGAATCGCCTTCAACTACCAAACTATGAAACTATTTGTTTGTTAATAAGCCGCTAGTATAACATATTAGTATATCAACTATATTTGATGCTCGTCAATTGATATGCTTGAAACTATTACGTGTTCACCTTACTCGGTAAATGAGAGTGAAAACAAATGATCCAGTGACACGATAGGCTACTACTCTAATCCGAGCGTCCCAAAGCCTCACTAAGTAGAGGAAGAAGTCTTGACAAGACGTAGGAAGTGTATTCTACTACAAGCAACTAAAAAATATGAGGTAGACATCATAGAAACGTCCTTGGGAGAGCCACAAAAATAGTGTACTAAAATAATCCATCAACCAATGGACAGTCAAGAATGATTTTCCGAGTGAGAAATCTAATCTCAAGGTCAACTAATCAGCCCATGCGTGAAAGCATAAAATTTCAAAATTCGAACCTTTGCCAAATGAGTTCTCGGGGGATCTAACCTCCCCCCCCAAACACTATTCAAAATAATGACACCTCGCAAAATAACAACACAACGAAGAGAGGAAGTGAGTGAAGTTGAAAACTTACTTTGAAAATCACCACTACCATTGTCGCCTGTACAACCAACGACAATCGACTCGCTATTAGCCGGTGTATCATTGGCGGACAATTCAAAACCATGATGTTGATGATGCTGATGAATAGGAGGAGTAGATTGTTGTTGCTGTTTTATATAACTAATGCCTAATTCACTGGATGATGATCGTTTTGATTTTGATGTGAAATGTTTAGAGATTTTATGTCTGTGTTGTTGGTGTTGTTGTTGTGAGTGTTTTCCAGATTCCATACTTATCCATGGATCTGGATTAGTTGATCCTAGACACTTCATTGTCTCATCATCATCATCATCATTATCACGATGTTCTACTGTATGTTCAGATGTTCTTGCTTGTGTTGTTGGTGATGATGTTGATGATACAGTAGAATGTGTTAATGAAGAAGAGTGTAATCGATTACACGGATCGAATGCTGTTGCTTCTTCTTCTTCCTGTTTTGATTTAAACAAACTCAATTTATGTGGTTTAGTGTTAGTAGGATTAGAATTATTGGGTTTTCGCATACTAGAAATAATTCGATTAGCATGACGATTTGTATGATGACTATGTTTTTGTTGTTTTGTGTTTGCAGAGAAAGTTAAATAATAAAAAAACAGGACATATGAATAAAACAAAAAATCAAAACATGAAAGCATTGAACATTGAATTAGTTAGTGTGTTATGGATCGTGGACACAACTTAAACAATTAACTTTCTTTTTAAATGAAAAAGGTACATTCAGTGAAATGACTGGATAAAACTACACTAAAAATCATCAAGACGGAGCTGATATACTAGACCAATCAGAAGTGGTAAAATGAGAAGGTCATTAGAAATATTCTTAAGAATGTATTGTGTATATCATTGGTCAAGGAATGAATTCATTTTCCAAAGTGAGGGGGAATACATGTATATGTAAGACAAGATCGATAAACGAATCCACCAATGATATTGTATGGAACATCACACCACCACGTTGATTCTGCTTGACCTTGTAGTATGACTATGCTTTGCTTTGAACACCAATCACAATCGCTCATGTTTGTTATATAAACGATATTAAATGCGATGACTCATAATTTTTTCATGTTCTCCTCTAGTGGTATGTCCACTCTATTAGACTGTGTAAATTTCTGGATTGTCGAGACAAATAGTTTATTTGTTTTGATTTCGGTCCAGTCAGTACATAGTGTTCGAAAATTAAAATTTCACCCATAGGTAAGTTATTACTTCTTACACCACACTTGCCTATTCGCTCAAGTAGTCGGTTTGGACAGGGAGAGTTATCGTGCACATGTGCCGTTTAGATCTCAGACACCGCTAAACATAGCAAAGTAACCCTTTTTTACGATTAAATTCTACAACTATCTACAGTTTGTCATAAAATAATGTTATCATCCTAAGGCACTTAGACTTACTAAAGATAAACGGTTAGAGATGCATTTGTACAGTTAGCTAGATATTTCAGTATTAAGCATATTTAACAACGTAAGTGATATTTGTTATGAATAGTTGATAAACTGGATACTTTATCTGCGAAAGTATGCATTTGGGGAGGAGCAGTGAACAGTGTTAGGAAATTCATCCAATATCTTAAGAGAATGATTAGTAAGTCTAATTCTATTAGTCCATTTCGATTGGTTAATTTCCTATTGGTCGTCCTAACTATCAATGTCACTTCAAATATTGTTTCCTATTCAACCTAAATGTATAAATACACAGTATCTGTAATGTTTTATGACCCGAGCTCAATCCCTTGTCCAGGATCCTGATTCTCTCTTCTGGACTCGGACATCGTACTTTCTGCATGCTTATAGAATAAATGTCCAACTTCATATCAAGACGTCTTCTTTTACTCAACTGGGGTTTGGGACAATCGGGTTGGAGTAGCCTGTCGTGTTGTCGCTTCTCGCTCTCGTTTTCTGACTACGGGGTAAACTCGTAATAGTTCAAGCGTATCAAATGACGTGCTACATGCATGCGTTACAAACAGTCTCCACGTTGAAGACCACACACACATTAGAGTCATATCTCTTCAAAGAATAAAATAAAGCAAATCGTTTTTTTAAAAAGAGATAGATAACCAAATTCAAGACGTATGCAAACAGTCTAATTAGTAGATACAGGACTTAGTCAACCTTAATCACTAAGCACAGCTCAAATATGATTGGGATTGATATTTTCACTTATTAACAAAGAACACACAAGCCCAACCAAACTGAAGTTTATGCTTACCCAGACTACTCTCTCTCTTTGTAACTGTTGTGTCTAATGTTACTTTTAACACAAACAAAACATCACCCGAATAGAATACAAATCGGTTCAGAACTCTGTTCATGTCTAGTTTATTGAGTTCAAGAGTGATCAAACAACCTTCACCAATGGAAATCTCAAACATACATACATAGTTCATATATATAGACATACTTGAACAGCACATCAATCCATGTGAATAACAAATCACTGTGACACATGAGAACAAGATAAACAGTGACTGTCCATAATAGCTAAGACCATAGAAATGAGTCGAAAATCATTTATAACAATAGTAGTTAATGCGTAGTTCATCAAAAAAACAAACTCAGAATACAATATTTCCTTAAACATTACTCTCTCTCTATCTCATCAATTTACTGACAGATACAGATCTACATCACATAAACGAACATTGATCAAATTAACTAACCTATAACTAAACTCTATCTTACTAATTTAAAATCCAAGACAGTTTTATATTCAATAACATACACTCTTTTGGATATTTTTAATAAAATATAAAACATTATCGACTAGTTTGATAAATCTGGAAAACAATAGAAACATTCTAGACAGTTTCAATAAACAAGATACGTCTTATTGTATAAATTAAAAACCATTTTTATGAATGTATGTATGTATTTTAGACCATCACATTAGAAACTTGGAAGTACTAGTACAGTCGTTTCATTCCGGTGTGAGATTGATCAGCAAGGCGCATACATGACTCCTACAACTAGCAGGATTCGAACATGGGACACCTAACCTCTAGATTGATGTGAGCCAATATCTACCGGAGTTGATGTACAACCAAAGGTCCTAGGTTCGAATTCTGATAGTTACAAGAGTCATGGATGTACGCTGCTGATGAGTTCCATGCCACGAAGAAACGGTCATACAGTGATTCCAGGTCTCTACTAGTAGTCTAACATAGACTGATCCATGATTTCAAAAAGTAATCCAACAATCTCCACAACCCCACAATACATATGAGTGTGTATCAGTAAATATTTTACTGTTTACAATCTTGAATAGAACACCTACGGTCAAAAACAAGGAAAGTATATCCTATCTCCAAATATTCTAACTGGCTTCTTGCGGCACAAATGTGCTTTACAAAATTGACAGGATGAAAAGCTAACGTCCGATCACCATTACAGAAAACCTGGAAGCACTGAAAAACGGCCGATTCATCCTACTATATATATATGGGAACCCCATATCAGTGGCAATACGCAGCCATAACTCCTGCTACTCGAATAGGATTCGAACCCAGGACCTTCGATCTTGCACGCTAGAACACCCAACCTCATAATTTGAGTAAATAAACAATCTTACAACGCACTCATTTACAAAACGTATGTTGAGAAAATGTCCATTTTTTTATCTGTTATACGAAACAATACAAGGTTGTGTTTTATGTGTGTGAGCGAACATAAAAGCGTTTAGATATAAAAATATTTCTAAAAATGGAGAATTAACTGGAAAAAAAAACTTTTTGAATTTGTATTTTAAAAATTAAAAAAAATGCAGCCAATGTCGAAAATAGTTGAGGAACAAAAATTTTTTATTTTTGAAAAAAGGAGCTGAATTCTCATTGGACAACAACCAGTCACATAGAACACTCAACGCAAACACACACACACACAAAGAACCAGAAATTTTGTAGGCAGATATCAAAAGAAGAATGAATAGCCATCGGGACTAATTGGATAGTTGTTGTTAGAGGTCAGGATAGAGTTGATTAGCGAATACTTGATCGGTAGCCTACACTTCGCAAAGGGTAACAAGCTTAAGTATGTAAATAACATCACTAATCTACTGATTGGATTAATAGCAACGTATAATTAGAGGATAAACTTTGTCTTACTTTGTTCACACACATAAACATAAATACTCAATACATGATAATTGAAAAATTTAAATTTTAGTCAACTTTATATTGAATCAAGTTATTTTTATATTAAAAATTAAAAATAAACTGTTATAATGTTGGTATATATAGATATTTTAGGGTAGAGTTTTGGAGGTTTGTGTTTCCACACATTTGAAATCATCAATCAATCGATCAATCATTGTTAGACCACCATTAGAATAAAATTGGAAGCACTGGACGGCCGTTTCGTCCTGGTATGGGACTAACTCGTCAGTAGTGCGCATCCACGACTCCTGCTCCTCGCAAAGTTCGAACCGTCAAGTGCTTCCAGGTTTCTAATTTTGGTCTAACAATGATTGATTGATTGATGATTTCAAATGTGTAAAAAACACAAGCCTCCAAAACTCTGCCCGTAAATATCGTAACAGTTCTCATTAGTGACTAGCTTCGTGAGGAAATTCCCGGAATTCTAGTTGAGAAGACGTGACCAATGGAGTTCAACCCTGTCGGGTTTAGGCATTAACTACCAAATACAAATGGTTGAGGTCGCGCAAAATATCCCTGGATCAATCAGAGCTAGACATTAACACCGTTGGGTGCCGGCTCAGTGGTCCGATGGTTAGGCATTCGCGCACAATACCGAAGGTCCCGGGTTCGAATCCTGCAAGGAGCAGGAGTCGTGGATGCGCACTGCTGATGAGTCCCATACCAGGACGAAACGGCAGTCTTTCAGTGCTTCCAGGTTTCTAATGGTGGTCTAACAATGATTGATTGGTGAGTTCAAATGTGTAAAAACACAAACCTTCAAAACTCTGCCCCACCCCAAAAACCTGAATTAAGTACCTCGAATGGTACATTGTACACATCGAAACTAGATCACATATTAAGGCAGATTCAAAGGGTAAGTGATAGACAGTCACTACCACTGAGTTCAGAGTAGAAGTCAATAAAAAGAGGGACGAAATCATAATACTGAATAATAATCAATAGGATTCGCACGTACAATCAAAACTGAGACATATCAGAAATCATGATCGATAAATAAGATATGTGACTATATATATATATATACTTTTGGTCTAACAGAAGTGATGTACGAGAAATTTCATCTTTTCCCGACATTATGGAGATTGTGGTTTCTAACTGAAATAAGGAATCAATGAAGATGTGACTAGTGAAGCTCAATCCTGTCGGGGGTAAAGAGTAGCTACCCAAGACAATCGGCGAAGTCGCGCAAAATCCCTAGAGATGGATTTAAGTGATTGGACATTAATACGGTTGGATGCTGCCAGCTGAATGGTCTAATGGTTAGGCATTTGTGCACAAGACCGAAGCTCCTGGATTCGAGTCCTGTGAGTAGCCGGATGTGCGGTGCCATCGACGTTAGAACAAAACAGCTGGCTATTGCTTCCAGGTTTTCAATGGCGGTCTAACAATGATTGACGATTTCAGAAATTCCACCTTGTTACAAAAGTACTGTAGTTCATCACTAAATATAATTACAAGTGAAGATTTATTCAGGCTAATATTCCAATATCCATATATATCATTCAGTTCGAACCTTCCACATCTTATAGCATGATTTTAAAAATTCCTTAGGTTATCAATGAACAGCTGTATACACTGCAACTGACACACACGTAGTGCTTTACAAACTGTAAACAAACATATGCGTCTCAGTTAATTACATGTTAACAATGAGAAACCAATCACGAGAACAAACTTAAACAACCGTACACACACACACCCGATTATAGAGACAATTTCAGTTTGATTTGTTACGATGTGTTACAATGAAAATACAAATTAATTATGACATTAATTATGAAATGAGCAGTCATTGTTAGTTCGATATGTGTACTAAACTCATAGAATATACAAATCGTGGTTATTTAATGAAGAGAATTTTTGTACAAATCGGATTAGTTTCATAGTTCAAATGATGAACTGATCTTAGCTAGACTACTACTGAAAGCTTGAAGGCGTTAAAGAACGCTATCGACCTAGTAGATGGACAACTCATCATTAGTGTCAATCCAAAACCCTCAGAAGTTGTAATCGAAGCGAGAACCTTCAGGCTACTAAGTCTAACTTCAATCAATCAAACTGTAACCAATGAAGTTCACTCCACCATTGGCAAAGAATGTAAGTTGTGCAACATCAAAGATTGATTGAGATCATTAGATATCAACTAGATGATCTAGAGGTTAGCGCTAAAGACCATGGGTTCGATTACAGCTTGTAAGCATTTTAGATGCGCCCCATATGAGATGAGCTAAAGGTACGAGGACCGAACATGTTGTTCAGTACTTCCAAATCTGTCTAGTTAGCTAGATCAGTTCGTCATTTCTAACTATGACAAATCATCACGTGTTTCTATTTGCTGAGAATAATCATCACACTCGTAAAAACAATATTACTAACATGTGATATTTTTATGATTATTTTTGTTATTACTAACATTATTATTAGTAGTATGTAAAAGCATTTATGTACAAATTTTTATTATTTTTTATAGACAAATACAATTATTCTCTTTGTGTTTCCTGTAAAACAGAGAAAAAAGAGGCAGAATAAAAAAAGTCAGAATCAGAATCACAGAGAGACATAGCGAGTGAGTGAGTGAGCGAACGCGAGAGACACCGAGAGACAGAGTGAGTGGGGGGCGGAAAAAGAAGCCGAGAAACGAAAACCACACTAGGAGAGAGAACAGCATAGCAAAAACCAAATAGCACTGTGAAAAACAATTGATCATGGTCATATATATATATATATATATATATATATATATATATATATATATTAAGTAGGCAGTTGTATTGTTGTTAGTCTTGTGAATTAAGTACCGCCGTTAAAGTACAATTAAAAAAAACTGTTAGCCAGAAATGGATTGCGCTTAGCGATGAAACAATTAGCGCGTAACACAAACACACAATGCACAAACACAATGACATACATTCGTGCACACCATTATACATAAACTGTCGAGTATATAGGTGCATTTATGTCGTAAAAAGTGTGAAAATGAGATATATTTGTATAGATTGCCATAGATATAAATATATGGATGTATACATGTGCATTACCCCTCACACATACACACACGGACACCCGCACAAACACACACACAGACAGAGATATATTTCCAATCTAACTCACCCTGACTTAAAACGACCACATCGAAAACTTGATTTACAAATAATATAAAAAGAAATTGGGTCATGATAAGTAGTATTATATCAAAAGTAATCATTATCAATGTATTGCGTGTTGCCCAATATACATATACATATATACATAATGCTATTCTCTATGTCAATAAATAATTTATGCGAACCAATCGAGAGACAGGAGTATTAGTAGTGTGGTGCGCGCTACTTATAAGTAGTATATGATGCCAGTGTAAACGTAATGTCTGGCAACAGAAGATGGAGGAAGAAGATCATGAAAGGAAGAAGAGTGGAAACACAATGGGATTTGTATGAAACAAACGCATGAATAAGTGAAATGTCAGACAATGGATTGATGATTGATTGAAGATTTGCAAATTAACCGTTTACGATATGGTTTTCCTATTTTACTGAGTAACTCTGTAATTTTCGTTAAATACAATTCGGTCGCCCTCACCTGTATCCTCCTTCACTACAGTAGTAGTAGCGGTAGGGGGAGGTTCAAAGTCATTTATTTAACACAACCAAAACCCTTCTGATATGCTTAAACAGTGTGTTGACAAGTAACTATGGAAACGACAGGTAGATGGAGAGACCAAGAGAGAGAGAGACAGAGGGAGAGCACAAGTTATAACATAGTACATTAAATCCAACAAAGTGCAAATGTTACGAGTAGAATATTCAGATAATGATCTGTAACCAACTTCGCTTGGAGCCAATCCCAAGCCAGTGGATAAACTAGGAGGGTTGGGCATCGGGTTAGCGATCCCTTGCCGTAGAAATCCAACTTGTTGAAAAAACGCTGACCAGAGAGATAATACGCTGGTTAGCGGGTAACAAGAGTGAGTGAGTGAGTAAGTAAGTAAGTAAGTATAGTGCGAATGTTTAAACGCTAATTTATTGATGAACCAATCAGATAACAACAGGTCATGCATTTTGACGCGAACACCATTCAAGCTAAGTAGCACTTTGGCATTGGAGCGTAATTTTACAAAAATCTAACTGGTAAATGTAACTTCTGACTGTAAATCTCTATTCTAGCTACTTTTATTAAGTTACAACACTTTAGAACATTATAAGTAGGTAAATTTTCCAAAGATCACTTTGGTATCGCTCAAAGATCGTTTCAACAGAAAATAAACCAGGCTATGTAATTCACAACTTGACTACTAATAAGTAGTTCGACAAGTTTAATTAAAAATAACTTGATATGAAAAGTTGATGGTTTGCATGAAAAAAAAACATGTAATCAGACAACCACAAAAGGCTTCAGTTTCAATCTGTAAATCGTAACACAAACAAACATCCCTTTTGACAATCAGATAAGCTTCATTATTTGAAACAGACATAAGTGTCAACAACAACAACAAGGCTGAGTCGGAGGGATATTGTCGAAATCAACTCATGAGATTTTATGGAATCAATAAGTGGCATTTTTCATTGGCCAGTTTAAATTGATACGTTTTTATTTGATGGGAAAAATTGGGTGAACAGGGAAATAATGACAGTAGGGAATTTTAGATGATGGAATCTCATACCATTAAAGCATAATTCTCATTTCATACATGTTTGTCTTTGGATTAAAGGATCGTAACATAAATATACTTTGACATATTTTATAATTGAACACCAAATCACGAAAAAACAGCTCAAAAAAACAGCATACTATGCTCACTGAAGCAAATAAGTAAGACGACCATAGAGATTATAACAATAACTAACTAAAGCTCTATTGTATAGAGCGTAAAGTTGGATAAATACAGATATTGCGGTATGAGCTACTTATAAGTAGTATATGACGTGAGTATCAACGTAATTTCTGGCAGCAGAAGATGGGGGAAGATCAAGAAAGGAAGAGTTAGAAGAACACAATGGAATTTGTATGAAACGCATGAATAGTAGTGACAATGGATTGATGTTTTGCAACAGGAACAATCCAGTTCGATATGATGAACTGATATTTTGCAAATTAACGATTTACGATATGGTTTTCCAATTTTACTGAGTAACTCTGTAATTTGAGATAAATACAATTCGGTTGCTCTCACCTATGTTCTCGTTCACTACAATATGACCATCAACCGGAAGATACAAGTGTTTATTAACAGTAGTTTACGCAAGATACCGAGGAACCCGTTGACTAGACTGCATCAGCGACAACCTATTGTGAGATAGAAAAAGATCAGATTCTAGCTAAGCAAGACATTTGGAAAATGCACTGGAAGTGGACAGGACACACATTGAGGAAAGCACCCAAGACAAGTAAGTCCTCTCAATTGGAATACTCACTCAAGACCAAAGGAAAACAGGAAGATCAAAGAACACATTACGCCCGAGTCTCGAAGACAGACATAATGAGAATGAACAGCGATGGGATAAAACTAACACAAATAAGTCCCACTGGTCAACAGTGGCCTATGTAAAGTAAACCAAAGTGGATCATGAAATGTTAAACACATTAAACTATAACATGAATGAATGAATGAATAAATTACCTTCGAACTAATCTCAATGTTAAACTACGCAAAAATCGTCCTGGTCGTGATTGACTACCACTACTAGATGATTCATTCTTTGAAATCGCAGTTGATGGATTTTCTATTGTCATTGAAGAATCATCAGAAGAAGAATGATTATGAACATCTGTGGAATAATTAACATTTTGATTCTTGTGATTCTTGTCTACTACTGCTATAGTCAATTGTTTTGATTCAACCATTGATGATGGGATATTATTGTTGTTAGTTGTCGCGTCCACCGCTGCCACATTGTTATTAGGTCGATGACGTACAGACCATTTAACAAGAGAATCTTTTTTACTTGACACTGTTGTTGTCGCTGTTGTTGTAGGCATTTTAAAACTGTATGATTTGGAATTCGACTTTTTCTTATCAACAGTAGTATCATCATGATCATGTGAAGTATTTTTATTTGTATTCAATGTATCAAGTGCTTTGAATATGGAATCAGGCAGCGCAATTGGACGATGACTAGGTGATGAGGTTTGTTTATGATGATGATTGTGTTGTCGCTGTTGTGGTGGTGATGCAGGTGATGCTGAAATCTTTGTAGAATTCAATGTACCTGAAGAAGAAGAAGAATAAGAGGAACACGACGACGAGGAGGAGGACGACGACGATGTTGCTGCTGCATTCACACACGTTGAAGAATGACTATCTGTGAAAGTCAATGATCCATCCATAGCATGATTATTATTATTATCACCACTCTTTTGATGATGATAATGATGATGATGATTGGGCTGATTGATTGATAATTTTTGTGTTTGTTTCATTTTTCTCTGCTGATTTTTATGATCTTCACTATTGAATATTGTATAAGGCATACTTGATCGATTGATATGGTGATTTTGTTTTTGTTGTGGATATCTTTGTCGATCATCATCATCATCATGATTATTATTCATATTGTCTAATATATCAATAATGGAATTTGTATGATTTTCTGAAATTTTATGATTGTTAGTAGTACTAGTAGTATTAGTAGTAGCGGTAGTTTCAGCTTCTGTAATGATTATTTTCGGTTTGGAATGAATTGAAGTATCTTTAGGTGGTTTACGATAAGAAAATGTTCTATAATTGAAGTAAAAAAAAATGAAAAGGAAGAATTAATCAGCTAATTATTTTGTGATGTTTTGTGATATATAGTATAGATACTAGTATATATTATAGTGTTAGTTTTTTTTTAGAATAAATGAACTAGACTACTTAATGAGTAGTCCAACTATTTTTCTAAAATGTTTGCCATGCTCATGAATTATCTATTTCAAATTTAACTGATATTATTACTCTATACACATACATATACATACGAAATGATAAAAGATACAAGATGGAGCTGTTTGGAATCAGTGAAATATATATTGGATGCAAGAAGCATCCACATGTATCACAAGATAAGCCCTCGCTGGAAATTCTTCAGGCCAAAGGAAAAAAGGACGACCAAAAATGTATTTGGCCGAGTATTGGAGACAGACATGAGAAGAATGAACATCCAGTGGACAGAACTAGAAAGGAATGTTCAGGACAGAGAGTAAGGTTAGAGAATGCTGGTGGTCGACAGTCTATGCTCCATTTAGGGGTAACAGGCGTAAGTAAGTACAGACAACAAACTTTTGCGAGATCATTCTATTGAGTTAGAAATGTTTGTTGCATTTTTATCGAAAAAAAGTAGTCACGTTCCAAACATTCACTTAAACAGAAAAGAAAACCTTTAAAAAACATGTTAAATATATGTTTCACACTGTACCAACATGATTCAATTTGACGTAAATTATGATTGTGCAACACAACAATACCAATTACGTAATATGTGTACCAGACAGATAGAACAAACTTGTTTTACAAAGAAATTTTTTTGTGTCATGGTCACTGATGTTCTATGGACGATGTCTTTTACTTTAGGAAACTGAGATAAAAGGTCAACATCCCAGGACGAAATCTGAGTGGAGGATGGATATACATCAATAGTGTATAGGAACGTTAAACGTCCTCAGAGAATAAACGGTATCTGTGAGTCTAATTTGGTTACGGACCAATATTGACAGCAAAGAAAGCTACAGAACCAAAAAAATCCAGCTCATAAAACGAAACTCCAATATGAAAGCATGAGGAATATCACACTAAGAAAGTCATCTCTCTTTAGGCTTGAGTGTCTGGAAAGTATTTCAACTCATTCATGGATATGAAAGTTTGTAATTGTGAATTAAATTCCTTATTCGCTCTGTGTCATCATCAACACTGATTGTTCAGTGTAAAGACATAAAATATGAATTAAAGTTGAAAATATCAACTTTTATTCGGATTTAAAGTAGTACTAATATCAATACATTTTTTTAAGTGTTTTAGATGCTTTTAAAAACAAAAACTTGACAGCCGCTTCAATCAAATGAAATTCTCTATCAATGTAACTTCTTTAACATCATAACAAAATCAATTACTCAATCAACATGAAGAATCAGCTGATTAGGTAAGGGTGTTTGTGATTGGACAGAAAAATTTTCCGTATCAATTTCAAATGATCGAATGCATGTCACACATTGAGAAGAACTAGCCAATCAAAATGAAGTTGTTTGTCGTTTGCATTTCTATTGGTACATCGATCGATTGAGAACACGTGACACATGTAGAACATATATATGATGAGACTAACAAAATCCACCAATAGAATACAAGTAAGTTATAAAAAAAAACTTTTTCCAAAAAAAATTTAAAAAATTACTTTGAGTAAAAAAACTGATCAGAATGTTTGCTGACTTATTTAAAAAACGAAATGAAATAAGTTGAAATCTATGTGATAAAACTATGCCAGTGAGATGATGACTTTTTGAAAAAAGATTTGAAAATTTCACTTTGACTTAAGAAAACACAGAAACTAAACAAAATAAGCGCGGAACACGACTGTCCTGAATGTATTTTCAATTAAATAAGCATTAGGTGGTTAATGTCAATAATAGCAAAATTGTTTATTATACTTTAAATTAAAGGGATTGAATATTCGAATTTCTATGGTTATATATATACATATATTGCAGGAGACTGGATCGAGCTCTGTTGGGAATGGATAGAGGTATACAATAAATCACCTGAGATGATTTAGATTTATCTATAGTATGAGAGCTTATCAATTAGATGTGCCAAGATAGTACTGCATATTGTTCTTTTCTAACGTACTATCACGAACTGACTGAACATCTCCCGGCATGGTTTACAAATGGCCAGATACAAAAACAATACACATTTCTATCTTGACACATTTTAATCGGTATTAGACTTTAGGACAAAGAAAAGTCAGTCAATGAAATTAAAGTATACTAAATATACATTGGAAATGATAAAGAAAATTGTTAAAACCATAACCAATCTACAGTTTTTCACTAAAAACACCTCATCAAACTCATCATCATTTAAGTAACTATACTTAGAAACAATAAACAGAATCAATAAATGACATAATGAAACACAATGAAACATTATATAAAACTGTGCAAAACAAACACACAAAAAAAACCCAGTATACACACACACATATATACAGGTATATACACATAAACAAACGAAAAAGTACCAAGTTAAAGCATGTAGTAGCAGTAGTAGTGGTAGCAGTAGTGCATTAGTTTGAAAAAAAGGTGCAACATATCAACAGGAAACAGGATAAATAAGAACATGTTAGCACACACACACAGATACACACAAAGGTTCAGATAAAAAGTACATTCATATATATAACGACTTTTGGGAAAACTATCAGTTCTCCTAATCTGCCTATTTCACTCTCTTTTATTCTACTATCCTGCTTATCTGAGATGAATCATTGCCAACAATAGGTAACTTTATTATCAAAGTAGATATTTTTTTTAATGCGTTTTATTTTTTGGTATAGAATGTGTTAGTAAAATATGAATAGTGATTCCTCTATTCAGTAAGTACACCACATACAATGATGATATGATGTCTGAATGGTGAATGCTGATGGCAATGAATTTAGACAATAGAAAATTCGAAAATGATAATCAATGGTTATTTTAAACAGTTTATATAAAACGACTATCATAGTGTCCGACTATAAAGGCTAGTTTTGTGATTGTTACTTATAGTAGTAGTAGTAGTATAGAGATAATATGCAGTAGAGTGTCGCTTACAAGTTGTCACCAGAGAGTTG